CTTTCAGGGATGAAGGGGAAAAAATGTCACACCTGTGCTGAAAGAAGTGCTAAAGGAAGTTCTTTAGGCTGAACAGAAATGATACCACATGAAAGCTGAGAACTTCAGAAATGAAGAAGGAGCACCAGAAATAGTAAGGTTTTTTTGTTTTGTTTTGTAAATATGAAATGCTGTTTAATGCATCTTTGTGTCTTAAAAATATACATAACTGTTTAAGGTAGAAAATTATAACTTTCTTGGCTAGAGTTTTTATTGCCCGTAGAAGATTACACATGGCCGAAACATAAAGAGGAAGGGTGTAGGGAACTGCCTGGTGGCAAGACTTCTGCATTTACAGTAGCAGTAAAACAGTAACACAGAGTGCCCTGTGAAGAGTGGACATGGGCAGCGTTACCCCAGAGCAATCACTAGAGAATGACAAACAAAAACAGGAGGTCCAGCCTCAAGTTAAGAGCTAAATGAAAAAGAGTTAAATAGTAAAAAAAAAAAAAAAAAAAAAATTAACCCAAAAGAAGACAGAAAAAGAGTAATAGGGGAACAAAACCAGGGAGGACAAATGGGAAAAAAATAATAAAATGGTAAATGGAAATCTACCCATGTCAATAATTACATGAAATGCCAATAACACTGATTATACATCAGTTAAGAGAAATTATAGTTTAGGTAAAAAGTAAGAATCGAGTGTATGCTGTCTAACAGAACCCTATTTTAGCTCTAAGGAAAGAGATAGGCTAACAATTTAAAAACATTTTTAAAGGGTGTGCCATAGAGGCCATGTTCACATCAGACACAGAGACTTCAGACCAAGACTGTTACCAGGGATGGCAAGCAACAGGACACCAGGGCAGTCCACCGAGTAGATGTGACCGTCCTGTGTGTGTAATCACTAAGCCACAGTTATATGAAGAAACCAAATAGAACTGAAAGAAGAAACTGAGCAGTCTGCAGTCATATGGGAAGATCTCAACACTCTTTTCTAGTGATGAGTTGAACAAGGAGACTGAAAAGCAGTAAGCATGCAGAACCTGGACTGACGCCAGCTCACCTCATTGACATTTCATCAAAAAACAACAGGATGCCCATTACTTTCCTGGGCCTCAGTGTTGATCATTTCTGTTGACCTGAGCTGACTGATGTTCCTGCTGCTTTTCTCTGATCCATCTCCCAGCTGCAGATTTGTAGGTATCAGGGACTGTGTCAAGTTCTCTGAGTGCTTAATGCCAAGCACCAGGATTGGTAGAGAGGAATTATTCAGTCCATGTTTTGGCTGGTGCAGCTTTTCAACAAGTAGTAGGAAATAGACCTTCAATTCAGGTCATGTTCAGATTTTCTGAAAAGGAGTGTGAGAAGAATAGACAACTTAAATTCTGCCCTTTATCTCTAATTGGTTTTGTTGGGATGTGGAAGCCACCATTTTTTTTTTTTTTAACAGTGTTCAGAGGGTGATGTCTACTTGTTGGAAATTACTGACCTAAGATAAATAACCTAAGAAACAAATGAAGCCTAACGTGTGGGCTCTGTTTCTTCCACAGTGACAATAAAGGAGGATGGTACCAACAATAGCTAACTTTTACTTGGTGTTTGTTATAAACCATACCAACTTTCTAATGCTTTGATGCATTCAACTCATTTAGTCCTTTTAACAACTCTGCCTTTACTACATTTTACAGATAAAGAAATAGAGGCACTGAGAGGTTAATTAATTTGCAGAAATTGACTCTGCCTATTAGTGGCCGAATCAGGACTGAGCTCAGCAGCTTGGTTCTATAGCTTGGGCTGTTGGCCAAGCCCTGTGCCTTCATAGGCTGGCAAGGTGGGCTGGCACAGTAAGCAGGCCACAGCCAAACCTGTTTCAAAACATCCTGGAGCAGGGGACATGGAAACTGAGTGTTCGAGGCCCTGAAGGCTCAGACTAGGGTAGGCATGTTATTACCCATGATTTCTTTCTTTATGTCTCTTCCCAGATAAGAATGGTTTTACATTTAAAGGGTTTTAAAAAGAATAATCAGTATTCACAAGAAGACAGCATGTGACCCAAAAATTTTCACTCACCCTTCGCGCACTCGCGCGCGCACACACACACACACTGATCTTAGACCCTGATACCTAGAAAGTGCAAGAGGTTATAGGGGAGAGGGTTTGGAGAGAACAAGCAGAAGGCCATAGGAGGTTCCTCTGTGTGGCCTGGTGAAAATCTAGCCTTTATCCTCAAGGCAGCTGGCATACAGGCACGAGTTTTAACCAAGAAGGAACATACCCATACTTTAACTGTATTTAATAGATGAACAAACGAGAACATTTTGTAGAGCTACCACTATTTAAATACTTATTTAAAAAGAATTGCCTTTTATTTGTGATTTTGGTGGTGTTGGGAATAGAACCTGGGCCCTCTCATACCTGGCACACACACTACCACTGAACTATGCTCTTGTCCTGCCTTTTATTTTTAATTCTAAGAATCTCCTGGGTAGTTGGTGAGTCATTGCTTGAGCTAATGAGGTTGGTTGAGTCTGGAAGCCTTCTTCATGCTGAGCGAGTGCTTGCAAAGGCATCTGCAGCACAGGTAAACTGCTGTTTTCTTAGTGACAGTTCCAAGAGCTTCTTAAAGTAGATAGATAGCTGGGAATCAGGAGTCCTGGGTCCCAGACCCTGCTCTGCTCCTGGTGTCCTCTGGCAGCTCCCTCCAGAGGCTACAGGCCCAGTGGTTAATTGCATGGGCCCAGCTTGCCAGCTGCCACCATTCATCCCGCAGTCTGTGGTTTGCAACTTTCTGTGAACTGTGGTCACCTGTGGGAATTTCATAAAAGCTCTTCTTCCACAGACCCTGATTTTTAAAACCAGGACTGTTACTTGGGCATTGGCATTATTTTCTTGGACTCACCACTGATTCCAGTGACCTGGCAGCTTGAGTGTCAGCATCATAGGAATTGATAACACAGACTCTGAGCTCATAATCCTGGCTACTCTGTTGGCTAAATGGAGAAAGCAACTAAAAATCTTGATGCCTCGTGTTTTCCATGGTGAAGGGAGTCCCTGCATCTTGGGTGGCGTGAGGATTCATGAGGTAGTTTCTCTAAAGCACATGGCTTGGCTCTTTTCACCACTTTTTCTGATTCCTTTTTTGCCCCTGTGCCCTCTAACTCCTTGTTACAGGTCTTTGGCAAGCGCCTGTCTTTGAGGGCAGATACAACTCAGTCATCCTCCAGGGCTGAGATCAGGCCTCCTTTTCTCTACTGAGCCCATCCTTCCCTTTCCCTCCCGAAGTCTAGGTTTTGGGGCCCCTTCCATGTTCTAAAAGGACACCACACAGCCTGTCTTTTATCTAGAAACTGTATCACTTTTCAAAGGTGAATACTGGACATGTTAAAAAAAAACTCAATTCTTTCATTGCTGGTTGCACAGCCAGATTAATACTCGTCCTAGGTAGTTGTGTGTGCATTCTGTGGACTCTACAGCAATGGCCTTGTAGGCAGGGACTCCCAAGGAGGTAGGTTACACCATCTAACTGAGCTGGTGACCTATGCTGGGTTCACAAACTCTGACTACTTCAATAACCACACAACACACAGAAGTACCTTTTCAAAATCCCAGGATGGTTCTTTCCATTGGAAAGAGAGAGAGAGCCACTGGAATTCTTTATTCTTATATAGGGGACACACTAGGGGAGGTTCCATGGAACATTCTATCCATAACAGGTCAGGGGTAGTATTACAAAGGAACAAGAAGGCAGCCCACTCCATTGGGTAACACCCACTCCCAAAGCTTTGCTCCTCTGCCGAGTGGAGATGGGGATCCACCTTCTTCCTGGTCAGGGAAGCCAGTCTCCACATTTCCATTGCTCAAAGCTGGTGGGTGCTCAGCTCCTATGTGGCAGCTCCTGACAGGTAGGACCCTACTGAAGTAGCCTCCCTCCAGGTGGTACTAACAGGCTCTGCCTTACACAGTCCTTGCTTTTTTTTTTTTTTTTCTCTTCTACAGATGGCCTTGAAGTTGCCTAAGAACAGTAAAAAAAGTAACAGATCTTGGGGAAGGACCCAGGAAATTAAACTTATGGTGTCTAAATTCACAAGCTGTGAGCTGCTTTGCACAGATGAGCACACCTTACCCCACAAACAGCCTTGCTAACTAGTTAGGGGTTCTGATCAACAGTCAAAACAGGCAGAGTCACGTTTTTGGTTGTTGTTTAACATCAGAAGAATCATAGCACACAGTTTTCATTAATTTTTTGTTTCCATGAGAGAAAGGAATGTACATTGAACCTCTTCTGAATTTTGGAAGAACATTTATCAGCCACTATACATTTTTTCTAAGGGCAGTCTCAGTTTCTAACCAGTGATATTACTGGGGAAACAAATAAAATAAGAAGCCAGAGTTGGACATTCCAGAACTGAAGGGTGACTTTTCCTGGACAGAAAAATAATCTCTGCATCCAAATATCTTCCCAAATTTATTTACAGGCAGTTTTATAATGCAAAATGGTGTCTACTTCTTTAGCTGCGAGGAAATAAAGAATCTTGGAATAGTTAGAATAGCTTTCCGCTACCCCCACATGTAATCCTGACTATCCTATAATGTTGGCCCTCTAACCATTGCAGTTTTGCAGATGACAGAATCAAATCATGTGGAAGGTCAATAAACAACTGTAATTATTCAGCACCTGGTTTTGAACCCAGGTATTTTGTCCCCAGAGCCCACTTTCAACCAGCACATTCACTGCCTCTCCTTGTCTCCATTTCCCAGGATCAGAATGAACACCCTGCGAGATGCAAGGTGTGAGTGCTGCTGGGTCCAGCTGCGCAGCCTGTGCCAGGGTGGGGTGGGGCTGGAATCCAGCCCACACTGCCCACCACTTACCAGATGTGTGTGGCTGCACGTGCTGGGGAAGGAGACCTTTCTGTAATTTGTACAAGGAAACATTTCCCTTTCTCTCGGAGCTGCTTTCATATTATCCTCTTCTGACTTCTCAGGTCTCTACCTTTCCCTAAAAAAAGGAGGAGAAAATGACCAAATTCAAGGTGAGTTGGTTTTCATTTCTGTCATTGGATATATTGCCCTCATTTCTCAGAGAGAAGACATACTTTTTCCCTTCTTAACCAAAATTAAAGAAAGACAACAGGAATTTAATACCATTTGTGTGTCAGGCTCTTGTGTACATTTTTGTCTTTTTGAAGAATTTCTTAGTTTTTAATTTGATTTATTATCATTTCTATTTCACAAATAATAGTGTAAAAGAGAATAGAAATTAAAAATCACACATTGTATTACCATACTTGAAAATCACCTGGTTTTTCTATTGGTCATTTAAGAACATGCTTTCCTAATTACATTTGCAATAACAGAAATTTAAATAGTTTTTTCTTCTTCTTTTTTTTTTTTAATTTTTTATTGTGGGTTGTTCAAAACATTACAAATTTCTTGACATATCATATTCCACACTTTGATTCAAGTGGGTTATGAACTCCCACCTTCACCCCATACACAGATTGCAGAATCACATCAGTTACACATCCATTGATTTACATATTGCCATACTAGTGTCTGTTGTGCTCCGCTGCCCTTCCCATCCTCCCCCCTCCCCCCTCCCCACCTCTCCCCTCCCCTCCCCTCCTCTCTCTCTACCCTCTCCACTGTATAACCCTGAGGGTCTCCTTCCATTACCATGCAATTTCCCTTCTCTCTCCCTTTCCCTCCCACCTCTCATCCCTGTTAAATGTTAATCTTCTTCTCCTGCTCTTCGTCCTTTTTCTTCTTAATAGTGGAAAAAAATTCAACTTAATAGTAGGGGCTGGGGTTGTGGCTCAGTGGTAGAGCATTTGCCTAGCATGTGTGAGGCACTGGGTTCAATCCTCAGCACCACATAAAAATAAATAAATAAACAAAGGTATTGTGTCCGTGTACAACTAAAAAGTATTAATAAATAAAATACCTAATAATGTCAGTGAACTCTTTTTATCCCACTCACTACCTTTTTCTTTAAATTATTTCTCACTACAAGCTTTTAAGTTCCTGAGGATTCTTGCAGTTTTACATTGTAATATCAATTTTCCTGGATATAATCTTTACTCCAAAAGCAATTCTGAGAGTTATTTTATTATTGTTTGTCTTTAATATTCTAGGGACTCAAAACTAAAAAAAAAAAAAAAAAAAAAACCTAAGCGGTACCTCAGGGACTTTTAAAAAGAATACTTAAAACACACTTTTTTCCCTAACAGGATCATATTGAAGCTAAACTTGAAAAAAAATTAGATGTTTTCACATAAGAAGAACTAAGTTATTTCACACCAGTACTTGAAGCTTTCTGTGCTTCATTATCATGTACTAATATATTGTATTGTGATTCCAAAACTTTAATGTTGTTATTCTACAACACAGCTATTTCTACTTTTTTGATGTTTATTTTGAAGAGACAACAAAATTCCAGGAACTAAATATATATATATATATATTGCAACACTGTTTATAATAGGTAATCTAAAACAAAGTGTGTATAAATTGATTCAGGTCACTATATTTTAAATCATCAGATCCTTGAATTACTATGCAGCCCTGAAATTTTTTGAAAGATGTGATGACAACATTGGTAGCAATAGCAGCATTTACTGGGCACTTCCTGTGTACCAGGCACTGCTTCTAAATGCTTTACATAGCCACTCATTTTATTACTGGGACCCTTTTGGTATAATTATCAGCATAAAAATGAGAGAAGAAACTTGTGGAAGACCACACAGCTAGCATAGGGTCAAGCATCCAGATGTGAACACAAGCAGTCAGTCTCCAGAGCTGTGCCCATAACCTCAGCAGCTATAAAAGCTACAGTTCAAGATGTGGCACAGAGGATGGGAACATACTTGAGCAATAAGCAATGATATCCTGTAAATTTGGTAAATTAGTGTAGCGTGCACACAGAAGTAGAGATACAGACACCACCCTACACTGTTGGAACTAAAGCTTTTCTGGTGCAAATGGCTTTATTAATAAAATTTAAAACATTAATAGCCCAGATGCAACAGAGTTCTGGGTACCTGTAGGAGTGCCAAGAAAAGGAAGTAATGTAAAGTATAAGGATTTTTTTTTCCCTCCAGCCCCTTTGGTTGATGGAACCAACATTATAGAAGGCAGACAGAGACAGCTACTGAAATTGGACTTGAGGACAACTATAAGGCACCAACCAAAAAACGTGAAAAAAAATTTGACTTGAATCCTTCAGAATCCAGAACAGCTCCCCACCATTTATACTCTATCAGTGCTGCCCCTCTCCCATAAACATAGTCTTTGTGTGTTTGGTATTCTAGGAAATGGTGACGTTCAAGGACGTGGCTGTGGTCTTCAGTGAGGAGGAGCTGGGGCTGCTGGACTCTGCTCAGAGGAAGCTGTACCGAGATGTGATGCTGGAGAACTTCAGGAACCTGCTCTCAGTGGGTGAGGACAGGCACCTGTGTATTGGCAGCCTCCTGGGTGTCTCTGTGGGCTCAGCAATTGGAAGCTTTGGGACTCCTGGAATCATTCTCTGTGCTTGGGTGCTTGAGAGTCAAAGTGTGTTTATTAACTTTTCATCACTGTGACCAAAATACCTGACAAGAACTACTCAAGAGAAGGAAAAGCTTATTTTGGCTTAGAGTTCCACAGGTCCAAGGTTAGCCAGTGCCATTGCTCTGGGTAAAGCAGAACTTCACTGTAAGAGTTGTAGCAGAGGAAAGCTGCTCACCTCAAGGAAGGCAGAAAGCAGAGAAAGTCTCTGCAAGGCTCCAGGGACAAAATCTGAACTCCTTAGGCATGTCCCCAGGGACCTCTTTCTCTAGCCACCCCCCACCTGGCTACAGTTCCCACCCAGTTAGTCCCTTTATTATTAATCCATCCCTGGTTATCTCACTGATGAAGTTATAGCTCTTGTACTCTGACTACTCCTGCATTCACACAGGAGCTTTTGGGAGACACCTCATACCCAAACCATAAGAGCTAGCAATCTCTGTAGAACAGACACAGTGTTTCTCATGGTCCCCTCCAAGCAAAAGTCTGTCTTTTGATCTGTACATGGGCAAGTTTGGGTCCTGCTCCACTAGGACCCCAATCAATTTAGTAAGTCATTTCAGTTTTTACTTTTGTTGTTGTTTTTTAGGACACCAGTAATTATTTATTTATTAACTTGGTTTGTGGGGAGTATTTTTTTTTATTTAACAGTGTATTTGTAAATAACTTCAGGTTTGTGGGAAATTTGCACAAGTCAAAGAATAAGAACACTCATATAACTTTTATCTAGATTGACATTTTACCTCATTAGCTTCAAAATTTGTGCTCATGTTCTTTCTTTTTCCATTATATAAACATAAATGAAAATATATTAATGTTTATAATATCTTTTCTGAACCACCTGAAGATAATTTACATATACCATGGCCCTTTTTCTCTAAATATTTCAGTGTATATGCAGAGTTTGAGAATTCCTAAGATCACCTTCACTTCTGATACTAGCTGCTAATTTGGAGGTCCTCGAGACAGATCTCCTCCAGACCCCATAATTCACTGAAGGACTCTCAGAACTCACTGAACGCTGTTATCATCACAGTTTTTGATTTATTATACAGAAAGGAAACCGATTGAAATCAACCAAAGAAAGATGCTTACAGGGCACAGTCCAGGAGTGTTTCAAGCTTGAAGCTTCTGGTTGTCTCCCTGTGGAGCTGTGCACAGTGTTGACTCTTCCCAGAAGTGCTGAGTATCAGGGTGCATGGGTTGTCGCAAGCAAGAAGGCTTGTTGGAGCCTTGGCATCAAGAAGTTTTATTGGGGTTCAGTCATGTTATATATGGCTGACCATCGGATTCCAACCCTTCCAGAGGCTAAGCTGATAACATGAGGCCCGAAGCCCAAACCATAAATTACATTGTTTAATGTCTGGCATGGCCCAGGGCATCTGGCTGAACAAGAGACTTTTCTCAGGTTGGAAATTCCAAGTATTTAGATCCTCCCAGGAGCCAAGTGCAAAGGTCAGACCTCTCTTTGGAGAAGATGAATCCTTTACTGGATTCTGCCTGTAGAATTCTACTTTTAGAAATAGGAATATTCTCTCACATATCCCTAGTACAGATGTACAACTTTGATCTAATCTATCACGTATGCTCTAATTTTATCCATAAAGCTGATTGTGATCCGCAGATGTATTTTTCTCCCTCCAGACCAGGGTCTAGTCTGAGTCTTACCTAGTCATCATGTCTCTGTAGCCTTTTTTAATTTGGAACATTTTCACAGCATTTCTCTTTTATGGCAGTGACATTTTTGAAAAATACATTTACCCCTCCCCTTTTAAAAACAGACCATTCCCAAATTTTCCTCATAATTAGATTTACATGTTCCATTCAGTCGGGAACACTATATATAGATGGAGTGTGTTCTTTGAAGGTGTTGTATCTGGAGGCACATAATATTCTCTCACAAATGAAGCTCATTTTGATTCTGTTGGTCAGCACAAGTAATTCCCTATGGATTTATCATCCAGTGATGAGTCTTGCCTTGTCTTTACCATGGTGGTTACACAATGATGATTTCTCTGACTTTAGTATTTCCTTTACATTTAACAGATTTGGTATTCTGCAGTAAGAGCCTCCTCCCAGCTTTAATTTATTTGTTATTTGTAGGGGTTTTTGAATTTTTAAATAATTTATAATTTATTGTTAAAATTACTTTGTTGTCATTGTTCCAAATTTGGCTCCTTTAGACTGACTCCTGTACCTCCGTAACATGCCCTAATACTATTTTTAGCACTTCTTTTATGGCACAGCCTGATGTCCTGTGATCATTTTTGCTTTGCCCCAGCTATGGAGGCATCCATACCCTTTTGGGGAAATCATATTTAACTCCAAGACCTGGATGTTGCATATGGTCATCCACCACTGAGGTATCTTTGTTTCTTGGTCTCAGGGCAGAGCTAGGAAGTGTGTGCACACACATGTATGTACATATACACATAGACATATACTTACATATACACAAACATACATATAAGTATGTATACAGGTGAATAGATGTTCAGTTTCATTCAAAATAAAATAAATGTTAGTTAAAGTTATACTTACATATAATTTCTCATCCATGAGATTGGTGAAAATTTTAAAGCTATACTTTTTTTTTCTTGTATACCTATGGGAAATAAAGCACTCTTATTCATTGAAAGTAAGAATGCAAAATCATGTTATCCCTAATGAGAGCAACTCCAGACAACGTCTAACAAAACTCTGTACTTACCTTTCCCAGCAGTCTATTTCCATCTATATTTTTTCCATAAATATAACCAAGTGCAAAAGAGCATTAACAGTACATTGCAATTTGTGTAAGAAAGAGGAACCCAGGTAAAGGTTATGTGTATCTGCTTATCTTTATAAGAAGAAACACAGGAGGGAAGGATTAGTGAAAAAGAGGGAGCCATACTTGAGTATACCTTTTAATCTAGTTTTAACAAAATAGACGTCATCAAACTTAAATATTTTGCCCTCCTTGTCTTTCTTATAGCACATCAGCCCTTCAAACCAGACCTGATAGCCCAGTTGGAGAGAGAAGAAAAGCTTTTAATAGTGGAGGCAAAAATCCAAAGAGATGGATATTCAGGTGAGACTTGTTCAACAGGGACTAGTAGCCAGTGAGCCCCTCTGGAACACAAGGCAGGAAATGTCAGTTCTGTGCTTCAACTCTTCAGTGGTCCCCATTTCAGAGATAGTAGATTTAAAGCACTTACAGTGGCCCACTAGGACCTATAGTATCTGCCTTTTACCCCCTTGGTTTTGACCATTCTTGTCAGTTTTAGCTACATCACCCTAATGCTTCCCACCAGACCTATAATCTGTTTCTCCATCAGGTTCTGTGACTTACTTTTCTTGCTGTCTTAATGTATAAATTGATTAATAGATGCATGGTCCTTGCTGTCTTCAGTCTACCCTGGGACAGCTAATAGATATAGAGTAAATCAGGGTAATTGAAGAATACTCTAGAGTGTTGATTGTATCTGATAACTACATTATTGGGGGGAAGAAGGCCAGCATCTCATTAAGGGGTCCTTCTTCCTGCCCAGGATAATCCAAGCCACCCTAAGACTTACAATCTGAAATAATTAGTAAATAACAAAGCACAGATACTCAGAAATATTTACAGAAAGTGAAGCCTCTGATAGGTCTAGTCCACATGGGTTCTGGAACTAGATGAAAGACAAAATGGCTCATTTAAGGGTACATCAAAGGCAGGGATAAGGTTTTATGGGTGGAGTCTTGCTTTGTGATGTCTTGCAGTCAGCAGGTTGACATCTTGGCAGGTCACACCCATCTCAGGTGCTGTGTGGGCCACAGGAAAAGAGAGCAGGAAAGAGATTCACATTGTCCCTGGGCAGTTGACCAGAGGAAATGACCATTGGTCATTCCCAGACACCAGATGTCTCTATCCATGAAGCTTCCATGTGTGGTGACCCACATGCAACCCATGGATGGCTCCTGACACTGCATGTCCTGTTTAGCTGTCTTTGGGTATTCATAAATAGGTAACCATTATTCCTAGAAGACAAGAATAGCCAATCAACTAAAGTAAGTACCAAAATGATCAGTGCCAACATTGTACTTGACCTTTCTCATGCAGCAATTTCAAGTGAGACACTCTTGAGTTCATATGCCCATTCTGTTCTCTTCTCTCGCCTAAACAGTCTCTTCCACATAACATCAGTCTTGAGGTAGAATTTTAAAGTTGGACATTTACATGAGTTCAAACATTTAATGTTTCTTGAATCCTCAAGACTAACATCAAAAGCCACTGTCACAACTGTGTAGTAATGGATTCTCCTGGGTAGAAAAAAAAGAAAATTTAAAAATGAATTTATTCATTTCTATAATTTTTGTTTCCATGTCAGTTAAGGTTCAGGGTCACACATGGTGCAGTGCCTTCTTGAGAGCAGGGTTTGACAAATATTTTCTCCAGAGGTCCAGATAGTAAATATTAGGCTTTGCTGGTCACATATAATCTGTGTGGCATATTATTTACTTTTTTACATTATTTAAAAAACAAGAACTAGCCAGGTGCAGTGGCATTGTCTGAGTCTTCGCACTTAGGAGGCTGAGGCAGGAGGATCACTTGAATCCAGGAATTCAAGAGTAGCCTGGGCAGCACAGTGAGACAGTCTCAAAAAGAAGGAATGAAGAAAGGAAAGAAGGGAGGTGTTTTAGTCAGTGTTTTTGTCACTGTGAACAATTTATTTGGGACTCATGGTTTCAGAACTCTCAGTCCATAGATGGTCATCTCCATTGCTTTGGGCTCAAGGTAAGGCAGAACACCATGGCAGAAGGTGTGGAGGAGGAAGACAACTCAGGACATGACAATCAGGAAGCAGAGAAACTCTACTCACCAGGAGTGCCCAAAGGCATGCTCCCAATGACCCACCTCCTACAGCCACACCGTGCCTGGCCAGGTTACCACTCAGTTAACCCCTATAAGTGGATTAATGCACTGATTAGGTTATAAGTCTCATAACCCTCTCACTTCACCTCTGAGCCTTCTAGTGTTGTCTCACATGTGAGTTTTGGGGAATACCTTTTATCTAAACCATAACAGGAAGTAAGAAGGGAGAGAAAGTAATGAGCTCAGAAAAAAATGATACAGTATGAAGTATCATTACTCCATCAGGAGGCATGTTGGGAGATTTTTCTCTCTGCTCAACTATGGACAGAAACTTCTACATGCTTATTACCAGGATCAACTTGGATGTGCACAGGCCTCTGTACACACATATTCTGATAGCCCTTCTGGTATCCTGAGGGAGCCTGAGGCTGCTACCATTTGGGCACCTTTTAGGAACCCAGCAGAGGAACTTCCTATTTAGTTAGGACCAAAGCATTTTCGGCCACATGTATGAAGGTCTTTCAGCATCGAAGCCTTTTAAATTGTGGATGGACAGAATGCCTTTATTTGTTTATTTTTATGTGGTGCTAAGGATCAAACCCAGTGCCTGACACATGCTAGGCAAGTACTCTGCCACTGAGCCATAGCCCCAGCCCCAGCATTGAAGCTTTTTTAGCTTGGATAACACTAATCCATTTTTCATAGATGCCATGAGACAGATTTCTCCTGTCTCACAGATTCTTTCTTCTAGTCTGTTCTCCTTATCTTTCCAAGCAAAAAGAGGAACAGGGAAGTAGAAAATATAACCTCTAAGAATTCCTCATCTTTGATTCTGCATGTGTTAGCATCTTTTATCTGGTATGGAACAAAGGACCTTTCCATTTCTATCAGATAATTGTCATCAATTGTTGTCTTCATTAATTTTAATTCCTTTATTACTTAATTCAAATGTAAAATACACCATGTTAACAGTTGCTGCAATTTTAATTTTATATGTTAACCTTAACTCATTTTTTCAAAAGTTAAAGTTTAGTTATTTTATTTTTTATTTTGTGGTACTAGGAATGGAACCCAGGGCCTTGCACTTTTAAGGCAAGTACTGTACCACTGAACTACATCCCCAGCCCTTCACTTTAACTTTAACTCAACCTTTCATAAATATTTTGTGATGTCTTAGATACGTCACTTAGATGTTGACCTAGCATTAATAATTCTTTGACATAATTTCCTTTTTAATAAAAAATGCTCTTCATTTGCATTAACTAAATTCAAATAGAAAGAAGTTATGGATGAAATGGCATGTTGCTAATGAAATATGATAAATCTGTTAAATTACATGTTTGAACAGTTTTTCTTATAATTTGTTGTGCCTTTTGCGATCATCTGCATTGACAGTGGTTCTGACATCTAATCCCTGGCTGTGGTAGGCAGGCCAAATTTATGTTATAATATCAAGGGAGTCTGTTTTCTGCACTTCACTCTCTCTGCTTCTCCCCATACAAGCCTGTTCTTGTTTTAAATATTATATATTTCTCTCTGTGGACTGTCAAAACTGTGGAAAGTTACATGTTGGAACCATTGTTAATGTCGATGATTGGGAAGATAGAACTTGCTCAGTTCTGTCTGCATAGAGGGCAAGAAGTGGAGGGAGCCCAGAGTCTTGCCGTTAAATACACTCAGGTAGAGAGGTAGAGGTGAGCTTGGTGTGGTTGAGCATAGCCAGCACAGCAGCTTAAGGGCTGCTCTGTGGTCACACATCATTGCTGTGCCTTGTACTTGCCCACAGAATGCCTTAGTTCCTCTTGCTATCTAAAGGTGTCGTCAGAATGTGGGGTGATATCCGGCTGGTTGTCCATGCTGATGTTTTTGAGTAGCTTCTAATAGAAGTGAAAAAGAAAACATAACCAAAATTTGTTTCTTTCAGTTCATTATGGCTATCATATTTAAAGGAATTGTTTGTATTTATTTATGATAGAAATGCTTTGTTATTGAATTGATTGACTTAAGATGCTGGAATGATTGGCTTTTTCAAACTTAAGTGCAAAAGCAGAATTACTATGAAATAAATTCTCAACCATTTTACCTCAGATGAGGTCTTTCAGTGCTCTCTTGAACTTATTTTCTCCATCAAATAAAGTTCATTTATAAAGTTAGCATAGTTTCTCATCAGCACCCTACCATTGATAAAATAGAACCTAAAATGTTGAGACATGGAAAGAAAGTGACAAAGTGCTTTTGTCTGCACTGCTGGTCAGAGGAAATTCAAGTTAGTTTTGTTGAAGGTTTGATGTTTTCCATGAGCAGTGAATGAAAGCACCTTTTTTCTTTTTTCTCTTTTTTGAGGGTGGGGGGAATGCCAGTTATTGAATCCAGGGGCTCTTGACCACTGAGCCACATCCCCAGCCCTGTTTTGTATTTTATTTAGAGACAGGGTCTCATTGAGTTTCTTAGTACCTTGCTCTTTTGCTGAAACTGGCTTTGAACTCACCATTCTCCTGCCTCAGTCCCCCGAGCCACTGGGATTACAGGCATGCACCATTGTGCCCAGCCCCTTCCTCTTTTTTTTTTTTTTTGAGAGAGAGAGAGAATTTTAATATTTATTTTTTAGTTTTCAGTGGACACAACATCTTTGTTTGTATGTGGTGCTGAGGATCAAACCCGGGCTGCATGCATGCCAGGCGAGCGCGCTACCGCTTGAGCCACATCCCCAGCCCCCTTCCTCTTTTTAACATTGTAAAAACCACTGATTAAAAAGAAACTTTAATCTCTTATATTTTCTGAGAGATTATTGTCATAAACTATGTAGTAATTTGCATTGAAATAGATGCTTTGTAAGACATTAGACTGTTGAGCTGCTTTTATGTTCTAAGACATGTCATTCCCAAAAGACTTGACATATTGAGCTATACCTTTATAGGTATATAGTGGGTATTTTTGATGACATTGAAACTAAGCTGTAAGCATTAGATTAACTTTATCTAGAAACCCAAATTTCTCTATATTATAGAATTTTATTGTTAGGAGCTAAAATCTTTTTTAAAAAAATATTTATTTTTTAGGTGTAGATGGACACAACACAATGCCTTTATTTTTATGTGGTGCTGAGGATCAAACCCGGGTCCCGCCTGTGCCAGGCGAGTGCTCTACTACTGAGCCACAATCCCAGCCCCAGGAGCTAAAATCTTAATGTAACAACTGAAAGCTTTGCATTTGAGAAGGCAGAGGCATCAATAACCAACTTTTAAAAGTACCCAGATGAGTAGTTAGCAGATGCCTTGAAGTGTTTTCCCACAGTCGGTGTATTCCCCCAGAGCCTATGGCATAGGGCCATTATGGGGCCCTTTCTTTATTCCTGTTTTTTTTTTTTTTTTTTAATGTGGGGATAGGGTAGGTCTTACAGGTGAAATTTTGCTCAAGAAAAAATACGCTATTTTAAAAGTAACTCTAAAAATTAAAGACGCAATTCATAGTTCCTACCTTTGGATCTTTTATGGGTCATTTGCTTTCATTTCATCCACAAGAGATTCTTGTGACCTTTGCTTTTCTCTCCAGAAGCATCACCCTGAGTGTAGCCCTATCTCTCCTATAAACTTTGAACTGCCTGCAAAATTGCCATCACTAGGTTTTTTCCCAGTAAAAATAATTTATATGTACATGCCCTTTTTTGTTAGATGAATGAGAATAACACAAGGCAGTATTTATTGAGCAACCACTATTCACTAAGCCATATTGTAGGGGCAGTGAAGATAATGCGAGGCACACTACTAAGTATTTGTCCTTGTGGATAATATATTCCAGCATGGAAAGACAGACAAATAAATAAGGAAGAATTACTGTGGATGCAGGCAATATTCATATTTATACCTTTTTTCTGAATAACCTGGAGAAGTTAGTGTGCTGCCAAGTACAGTATTAATTCAACCCTGCTTAACCAGTTTTGGTTAGGATACTTCTCCCTGGAACATGAAGATCTGCTGATTGCTTATAATCCAGTATTTAATAACTAGATAGCAGGTCATTTCTACCCAAATATGCCTGTCTTCAAACTCTTCCTGGTGCCTCAAGACTCCCTAAACATTAGGATCTTATTCCAGTAAATTGATGCAAACCAAAGTTGATGTTTGTTAGGTTTTATTCCTGGCTGATGAGATGCCTAGGAAAACACCTTTCAAGTTCCCTGAGACTTGGCTGTGCTTGCCTCCTGCACCTCTTTTTTTCTTGATGTCTTGAGTTGAATCCTCTAAGAGTTTTTCATATTCTGATCTGCACCATGGCCCTTAGTAATTGTGAAATGTCTTTTGAAAGGATTTAGAGATGATAATGACTTACAGTGACTTAGAGATGGGCCATATGATATCTCAAGCATAGATCAAAGATCTGTCGACCACCTTGGGCATAACATTTAACATCCAATCTCCTTATAAACAAACAGAAACATTACAATGATGATATGCCTGAGAAAGAAAGAAAGTTATTATCAGAACAAAAAGCACTTGTCCATTTGCAGCCATATTCTTTCCAATTTGAGAATATCCCCTTCTCTTTCATCCTTTGGCTGTCCAGGAAACCCATGGTAAACCCATGATAGCATGCTTATGGTTACTAGGCTTTTTAAACAGGACCACCATTTGCTGATCAGGTTGTGTTAAAGCCCTGATTTTCAGGTGTATAAATAATCTGAATATTGTGGATTCTATTTACATATCTAATGTAACCTAAAAGGAGGCATTTTCTAAGTATTCTTAGAAGTAGTGACATGAATTTTTTTCCTGATTCATTCAAGTTATGTTATGACCTAAGAATAAAGTATTGAAATCTCTGAATAAAGCATTCACTTGTACACCTGCCTGAATTCTCTTTATCCTTATAGGAAGCAGCAGTCAACTCAAGACAGAGAATGTTCAAGAAGTGGGATTAAGCTACTTTTCCCCCAAAGAGCTTTCTTCCTGTCAGACTTGGCAACAAGGTGCAGGCAGGTTAACCAGGGATCAGGATTCTATGAAAAACTTTCAGTGTGACAAGAATTTCCAGTTGCAAAAACAAGGTGATTTTCTCTACCAGATTTGGACAGAAATGCCAATTCAGATTTCTGAAGATGGGAACTACATATTGACTCGTCATGTAGGGGATGATTCAAATTATGTAAAAAATCAAGAATTTCCATCTTTGAGAGACCAGCAGTATTGGAGGAAAATGTATCTGACAGAGTCACATAATTATCAATGCAAATGTCAACAAATTTCCACAAAAAATAATTCCTGTAGGTGTGACAGTGTCAGATGGATCTCACATCATAATGATAATCTGAAAGTACACAGAAGTGGAAAAGGTGGCAGTTGTCATGACTGTGGAGAAGATACCATGAAGGCATCATTAGTTCATCAGGACTCAGTTCAAACAGGGCAGAAGCTCTGCCCATGTACTGAGTATAGAAAAGCCTTCAGCAGTGACTGCAATTCTCAAGTTAATCAGCAGTTCCACTTAGAAGGGAAGCCCTGCACATATAGTCCATGTGGAAAAGGCTGTAGCTATAGGTCAATTCTTCATCTACATCCAAGTGTTCAGAGGGGAGATAAAGATGTTGGTGAGAGTTCACATCTGCAATCTCATCAGAGAGAGTGTACAGAGAAACTATGCAAATGTTCTGGATATAGAAAGAATTTTAATAATTTCTCTTCTGTAAACACCTTTGAACTTAACCACACAGGAGAAACATCCGGGAGGTGCAACCTTTATAAGAAATCCTTCAATTATAGCTTAGACCTTAAAAGCATTTTTAGGGTCCATACTAGGGAGGAACCCCATGATTGTGAGAAGAATGGGAATATTTTAAACCAGAGTTCATGTCTTCAAGCTCATCAGAAAATGCAACCTGCAGAGAAACTATACACAGGTGTGAAATATGGGAAAGATTCCATTTGTAGTTCAGATCTTAGCGTTGAACATAGAGTTCACATGGAAGAGCATCCCTATAATTCTAAGGAATGCAATAATGACTTCAGTCTGGCTTCACATTATCAGGACTTTCAGGTGGTCTATCCTAGGCAACAGCCATATAAACACTATGTATGCAGTAGCAACTTCAGTCACAACTCACATGTTCAAGGCCATCAGAAAATTCACATTGGAGAAAAACCTTATAAGGAGTGTGGAAATGGCTTCAACTGGAGTTCAAAACTCAAAGATCATCAGAGAGTCCACACTGGACAAAAGCCGTACAAATGCAATGTGTGTGGCAAAGCCTTCAGTCATAGATCCGTTCTCAATGTTCATCAGAGAGTCCACACAGGAGAGAAACCTTATAAATGTGAGGAGTGTGATAAGGGCTTTAGTCGGAGTTCATACCTTCAAGCCCATCAGAGAGTCCACTCTGGAGAAAAACCATACAAATGTGAGGAGTGCGGGAAGGGCTTCAGTCGGAACTCCTACCTTCAAGGCCATCAGAGAGTTCACACTGGAGAGAAGCCATATAAGTGTGAGGAGTGTGGGAAGGGCTTCAGTCGGAGTTCACACCTTCAAGGCCACCAGAGAGTTCACACTGGAGAAAAACCATTCAAATGTGAGGAGTGTGGGAAGGGGTTCAGTTGGAGTTTTAATCTTCAAATTCATCAGCGGGTTCACACAGGAGAAAAACCCTACAAGTGTGGAGAATGTGGTAAAGGCTTCAGTAAGGCCTCAACTCTTCTGGCCCACCAGAGAGTCCACACAGGAGAGAAACCATACCAGTGTGATGAGTGTGGGAAGAGCTTCAGTCAGAGAGCATACCTTCAAAGTCATCAGAGTGTCCACTCTGGGGAGAGACCATATATATGTGAGTTATGTGGGAAGGGCTTCAGTCAGAGAGCATATCTACAAGGTCATCAGAGAGTCCACACAAGAGTGAAACCATATAAATGTGAGATGTGTGGAAAGGGCTTTAGTCAGAGTTCACGCCTTGAAGCACATCGGAGGGTCCATACAGGAGGGAAACCATACAAATGCGAGATGTGCACGAAGGGCTTTAGTGAGAGCTCACGCCTTCAAGCACATCAGAGGATCCATACGGAAGGGAGACCCTACAAATGTGAACAGTGTGGTAAAGGTTTCAGTGGGTTTTCAAGTCTTCAAGCCCATCACAGAGTCCACACTGGGGAGAAGCCATACAAATGTGAGGTGTGTGGAAAGGGCTTCAGCCAGAGATCAAACCTCCAGGCTCATCAGAGAGTACACACAGGAGAAAAGCCGTACAAATGTGATGCATGTGGTAAGGGTTTTCGTTGGAGCTCAGGTCTTTTAATTCATCAGAGAGTCCATAGTGGTGACAAATTCTATAGAAGTGAAGAATTTGATAAGGATTATCCTGCTGCAGAAAATCTACACAGAAATGAAGGTTTGTAAAATTTCTGGTTTGTATTGAAGTCCTCAAAGGGGAGATGAAATTTCCTAGTCATTAGAGTTCTTTTAGTGGGCAGAAAAGCTTTTTACAGTGAAAATGTAATTTCCCCCCAATATCAACATCTATGATGGTTAGGAGATCAGACAGCAAAGACCTCCAACAAGAGGGGCTACTAACAGATTTTGTCAAAAATTTTAAAAATCATTGAACCAGAAGCGAGGGCTTACAAAATATAAGAGTGTGGTCAGGAATTTAACAGAAGTATAATGGTCATCATGCCTGACTCCATGCCCAGTAAGATGTAAACCCCATGAAAGAAGGGAATTTGCTCATTGCTGAGTCTACAAAATCATGACATTTCACAACTTGGAGTAGGTGCTCAGGATTTTATGCTAAGTGAGTAAAAGTATATAAATATACATAATATTTGAAAATTTTATGAAGCTCATTTCAAAAACTTTCGTTTAAAAATGGAATTGGAAGAAGAATTCTATAACTAATCTTAGTATCACTTCAAGTAAATATTTGAAATATAGAATATCAGACAATATTGCAATTTGAATTAATTTGAATTTGGTTGTAACCCTTTTAGGACTGGTTCCCATATTTCATCCTCTTAAATGGGGGTATGCAGAATTTCTTAATAGTTGTTCTCTTTCTATACAGCATACTCAATTTCCGTTTAGCACCCTCTCCCTGTCTCCCCTCCTCCTACTCCTTCTTCTGCCCCCTTTCCCTGTGTGTGTGTACACAAGTGTGCACTTTAAATGACAATACAAACTGATAAACTGTTTCTGGTTAACTTTGCAAAAACAGAATGCTGCATTTTACATAATTGAATTCTTCTGCCCTATGTTAAGGCAGAATTTTACTGTAACATTTGGAAAGTGTCAGTAGTGATTACTGATGACAAATACATTTAAATAAATGTCAGAGTTATAATGGCTTTTTTTTTTTTTAACTCTCCATATTTCCATTAAAGTCCATTTGATCTGACTGATTTTTAAGTGTTGGTGTTGTCTCTAATCCAGACCTTTGTAGGCAGGGTGTGTGGCAAGCTTGAAGAACTTTTAAGTTCTCTGTACTCACACTTTCCCGACTTGCACAAAGGGGAAAATCTTGAATTTTTCAAAGCATTTAACCAGTTGACTCTTAGGACAGTATTACCATTTACTTGCTGATCTCAGTTTTCCAGAATAATGCATTTTGTTGGTGGGAGTGAAAAATACAAGTTTCTCATCCAATACATATCAAACTCTTGTGTATATAGTCATGTATCACCTAAGAACAGAGACACATTCTGAGAAATGTAGGGCAGTTTCATTGTGTGAACATCATAGCATGTACTTAACACAAACCAAGATGTCTACAACATCGCCCAGCAATATAATCTTATAGGACTTTCTTCATATGTGCACTCCATTGTTGATTGAAATGTTGTGAGTTACATAACTATATCAAAATGCAAAATGTGCATACTCATCTGGAAATAATAGGATAATAATTTATGATTAATTTTAACAGTGATGGAGGATTTACATTGATGGTAATTTTAAAATGCAATACTTATTCATCAATAGGAATTTGGATAACTTTCTTTATATTCCTTTACTGTGGAGCTACAAAAAGTATTAAATGCATCAAAAACAACAGCACACTATCAATGAATATTGTTTATTGAAAATGTGTGTTGTGCCTTCATAATATCTAGTTAATTTAATTTTATATAGATATGTGTTCAAATACATGCTTATAGATAATATTTGAAAGATTATTCATCATTATGTATATAGCAGTTTCCTTAGCAATAAAAATCTTAGTTCTCTCTCTTTTTTTTTGCAGTTCATTTTTAAAAAGTACAATGGACATTTACCAGTTTTATTAAATTAATAATCAACTACTGAGATATTAATCCTCTATTTAAGAACTTGTGATACGATTGCTCTATTTTATTCTTTGACAGTATGGCCTAAATGTAAGAATAAAACCCCTGAGTTTAATTTTCAAATTTTGGGGGTTTTTGAGGATACAGATTAATTAGATGCTTAGATGCAACAACTTTATATTTCTATGAGATTTCTTTAGGTCTCAGTGTTGCCTAGGATGTCCACATGTCAGTAGAGTAAGCTGATGCATCACATTTTGGGGGGTCATATTTCCCTCTGCTGGATGAAAAGGGTGACAAAGGCACTAGTTTGAACTGATCTCTGAGATGCTGGCTCAAGAATTACAGTGTCATCAGAAATCCAGGGCTTCTAATGCATTTCTTATCACTTCTAAGGAAAAATCATGAGAACTCATGGTGATTTTATTAATAAGAAGGCTTTTTAAATCTTAGTAACAGAAAATTCAGGGTTACTTAAACCAAAAGTATTTTTGTTTAAATAAATGAAAAGATACAGATAGATTAAACCTGAGTCTTGTGATTGCTCACAACATGATAGCATTCCAGCTTTCTTTGTTCACAACCAAGGAAAGAGCTTCAGTCTTATTTTAGTGGTATGTAGTTTTGCTCCTCAAAGTGCATAGGATTCCTGTTGTTTTTATTTAGTCTCAGTTTTTAGGACACCCTGGACTGTTCTGCTCCTGGTGACAGGTAACAGCGGGCTACACAGGGAAAGGGGAAGAATGTGGACAAAGAAGAATTCTCTAGCACAAGTGTACAGGATGGCCAAAAGCTGAAGCACAGCATAAATATTGGGGAAAGTCTTCCAGCACTCCAACCCCCACCCTAAACACACAGTCATACCAGAGAAGTTTGAAGCCAGTGGTACACTGAAGATAACTATTGAGAAAAAGAAAGAAAAAAAAAATTCAATTCCAGCTTTCTTCCTATCCAGAGCAATCCAACATTCTAACAAATCCTAGCAAAACAACCCAAGTTCCAGGCAAAAATATTCTTTTCTTCAGTCTCTACTATTCTATATATGTTATCTGGCATTTGAATAAAAAATGAGAAAAAAACCTCCACTAAGAGCAGACCAGTCAACATCACAGAGTTGACCATATTTTGGAGCTATCAAGGAATTTTACATAACTGATTGATATGTGAAATAAGCAGACAGTATGCATGAGAAGATGGGGATTTCAGTGGAAGTTAATAAAGAATCCAATGGGAAATGCTAGAAAAGAAAATTTATAATGAATACTTCTGAAGGACTTATGAGTAGGCTTAAAAGAGCTGAGAAAAGTGTCAGAAAACTTGAATGTGGGTCAATAAAAATACCCAATCTAAAACACAATAGCAAAAAGTGTGAAGAAAACAAGAACAACCAATAATTGAAAATATTGTAATATCTAATATTTTTATGATTTTAAACCCAGGGTGGAGGGAAAATAGATATTTGAAGAGATAATGGCTGATAATTTTATAAAAATAAAGACCTCACCTAGATCCAAGAAACTCAGAATATCAAAGCAGGATTTAAAACAAACAAAACTGGAAATCACAGGTACTTTATTGCCACACAACTAAAAATGGACAAAAACATTGGCCAAGAGCAAACAGAAAAGCAAATATGAGAAAGGCAGCAGAATCCTCATCTGAAACCAAGCAAGCAGAAGACAATGGAGTGTCATCTTCAACATTTTGAAAAATTCTGTCAATCAAAAATTGTAAGTCCAATAGAAAAAAATCTTTCAAAAAGTATGCTACTAAAACATTTCCAGATGAACAGAAACTGATAAGATTCACTATTAGCATACCTGCACTACAATAAGTATTAAGGACTTTTACAAACAGGAAGAATATCCTATCAGAAATAGACATGAATCTACCAAGAGACTTTTGAAAATGGTTAAAATGAAGGTAAATATTTTTAAAATTTTATAAATTTTATTTTAACACTTGATAGTTAACAAGTGAAAATAGGAACAAGGTATTATGAGTTTATAATGTATAAAAGTAAGATTTAGCAATATCACAAAACAGGACAGATTGAAATTGGAAGCATATTGTCATACTCTGTCATGAATTTTTGTCCCTTGAAAGTAGACTGTAGAACAGGCCCAGTGGCCCGCGGAGGGGCAGAGCTGCCAACCATGCCTGCAAGGTAGGTGGACCTGCGACCCACCGGCAGAACAGGCGCAGCGGCCTGCTGAGGGGCAGAGCCACCCCTCCCCCCGCTCCTGCAAGGTAGGCGGACCAACGGCAGAACAGGCCCAGCGGCCTGCTGAGGGGCAGAGCCGCCCCCTCCCCCTGCACCTGCAAGGTAGGCGGAACTGTGACCACCGACAGAACAGGCCCAGCGGCCCGCGGAGGGGCAGAGCCGCCCCCCGTGCCTGCAAGTTAGACGGACCTGTGACCCACCGGCAGAACAGGCTCAGCATCCCGCGGAGGGACAGAGCTGCCCCACGCGCCTGCAAGGTAGGCGGACCTGCAACCACCAACAGAACAGGCCAGACCTGCAACCGACAGAACAGGCCCAGCGGCCTACGGAAGGGTAGAGCCGTCCGCCCCCCTGCACCTGCAAGGTAGGCGGACCTGCGACCCACCAGCAGAACAGGCCCAGCGGCCTGCAGAGGGGTAGAGCCACCCCCCCCCCCGCGCCTGCAAAGTAGGCAGAACTGTGACCACCGACAGAACAAGCCCAGCGGCCCGCAGAGGGGCAGAGCCGCCGCCCGCGCCTGCAAGGTAGGCGGACCTGCTACCCACCGGCAGAACAGGCCCAGTTGCCTGCCTGCATGGTAGGCACATTGCCCCAATTGGAGGAGGGGCAGAGCCGACACCCGCGCCTGCGAGGGAGAATTTGCAACTATACAAGAGCAATATAAAATATATAGGGGGAAAATTCAACAGCACAACAGTTTCACCAAGCAGAAAGAAACGCGAACAGTATGAAGAGACAAGGAAAGAAAGGACCACAAGCAATGCAGGTCAACTCAACGTTAGAAGAGGTAATATCTGCAGCAGATGGAATGTCAGATAAAGAATTCAGGATATACATGCTTCAGATGATCTGGAGTCTCAAGGAAGACATCAGACAGCAAAATCAGACAATGAAAGATCATTTCAACAATGAATTACATAAACAAATCCAAGAAGCAAAAGATCAACGATACAGGGAGATAGAGGTTATAAAAAACAAACAGAAATCCTAGAAATGCAGGAAGCAATAAACCAACTTAAAAACTCAATTGAGAATACTCCCAGCAGAGTAGAACACTTAGAAGATAGAACATCAGACAATGAAGATAAAGTATTTCAACTTGAAAAGAACATAGACAGCTCAGCAAGAATGTTAAGAAACCATGAGCAGAACATCCAAGAAATATGGGATAACATTAAGAGACCAAATTTAAGAGCCATTGAGATACAGGAAGGGACAGAGTTTCAAACCAAAGGAATGAGCAATCTATTCAATGAAATAATACGAGAAAACTTCCCAGACTTGAAGAATGAGACAGAATCCCAAATCCTAGAAGCCTACAGGACGCCGAATGTGCAAAATCATAAGAGACCCACACCTAGACACATTATAATGAAGATGCCCAACATACAGAATAAGGAGAGAATTTTAAAAGCTACAAGAGAAAGGAAGCAGATCACATTTAGGGGTAAGCCAATCAGGATAACAGCTGATCTTTCAACACAGACTCTGAAAGCTAGAAGATCCTGGAATAACATATTTCAAACACTGAAAGAAAATGGGTTCCAACCAAGAATTGTGTTTCCAGCGAAATTAAGCTTCAGGATGGAAGATGAAATTAAAACCTTCCACGATAAACAAAAGTTTAAAGAAT